ATGAGCGCTTGACCACGCCGCCGACGAGGACGCCGCCGGGAGAACGAGCAGCTTGACCACACGAGGAGAACATCATCCGGAAGAATGAGCGGCTCGGCCACGAGGAGAACATTATCCGGAAGAATGAGCGGCTTGACCACGCCGCCGACGAGGACGTCGCCTAGGGAACAAGCAGCTTGACCACATGACGAGAACAACGATACATCTCTAAGTTCAGTGCAGACTAGCACTACCTTCGCAAACCACGTTAAGCCTACGGCCGGTCTGCTTCGTCTCGCAAATGCGTTGTTATTACTGTCATTTTCGAGTGATTTAGCTTGACGCCGTTGTACCGGTAGATCACGACTCGATGGCGACCCATGAAAGACAATAACAAACTCACACCCTTAGAGTCTCTATACATGCGGCTCGCGGACGTAACTACTGCGAGGCACGGCAGACACTCTCTCGGGCAATGCGGAAAAACAAAGGCGTCATTTCATTGTAAGGTCGGGACTTTCGAAGCCTTTAATACTATACCAGGGACTTCCCACATCATTTCATGCATGTCACGTGCTGTGTCGAGAATGCGAGCGAGAGGAGCGACGCTTAGTGCGCTCATAGCCCGACATAGAACGTCGGAAACTAGACCACTCGAACAGATTATACCTAGCCGTCCTCGCTTGGCTCACGCTGACGGGTCTCTGTATACCAGGCGAGCAGATCCGAGCAAGCACGGTCATCGTTCGACGAATGTCGATCGATTGTCGCGAATATTAACACTCTTGTCACTAGTCGTCCCGCGCTCGACTCCGTTGCTGCACATTCATGGTTCTTGTCGATATTCGATAACGATCTAGATTGCTTCTATGTCACCTTCGAGTGACGCATACGACACATCTTCGGGCTCTGGCTGTCGGCCATGCTGCCTAGCAACCACATCATTAATATTGACCCTGGCATGCTGTTTTGGCTTGAGTTTCCGAATCGCGAAGTCCCGCCCTGCACCATAGCTAACGATCTAGCAGCCTTCGAGGTTGATTGCGATTTTCGCCGCCCTACGCGGTGACGGTGTGTCGGAGTTGTTACTGCGCCGCAGCTTCGTGTACTCTGGGTTGATCGGCACCATCCCACGAACATTCCTTTCGGTGACCTCACTCTACATGCGCTCATCGGCTTTCGTGCAGCTCGCTTCTCACAGCACCAGCTCGCTCAGCATGTGCATTTTCGCTATCGCACTCGGCACAACACGCTTGACCTGCTTGCCATTGATGGTCTGATCATCGACCACTTCGCCCTCTTTGACCGATCTAAAGAGGTCTTTGGAGTACGCCTTGAGGTGTCTGCTCTTTGCTGCTTCAATCGAATTTCCTTTCATGATGAAAACGAATTCGTTCTCCTTGCTTGGTTCTAGCTAGAAGAACTGTCATACATCTAGCTTCGCGTAGAAAGACGTGCTGTCTTTCTTAGCACTCGGTCCTTCGACTTGTTGGCCGCTGTGTAGTTACAGGATCTGCTAGACTGACTTCTATCAATTTAAGACGGCCGAGAATGCCATGTCCAAGTCGACGCAGGACTACGCGTCCTTTCTCTTCATCGTCGACGTCGCCCAGATCCTAGGTATGTCTTCGGTGGTTGCTAAACTGTAGCCGTATCGCACAACGTCGTCAGGGTGAGCACTTGTCATTATCTTGCTGTTTGCTGTGGGGTTCGTGGGCGGAAGAGAGAGGTAGCAATGGTGTGTGTGTTGAAGAAGGATGTTGGCAATTGGCAGAATGTGGGAATATGAAGATAATAATGGATGCCCACTTCGAGGACGTCGCCGATACAAGCGCAATGGTAGAGACTGCTGGCCTCACTAAACACTTCATTCCGCTTCGCGTTTTCTCGCGGATCATTTGCTACTACTCGCAAGTCACATGCTGCTAACTGACTACACGACCAACCCCTCATGCAAGTTTCGCTCACCCGGGCAAAGACACACCGTAATCAAATCTCTAACAAGCAGTCAGCGACTAGCAGCCATGGCAGCGATATCCGTCTATCTTCTTGTGTTCGCCGCCTCGCGTACTACCTCGACAACAACAAGCGAAATTCACGTGGCTCGCCTGCGCCTCGGCTACGAGCATGATCTACTATCCCGCCTCTGTCCTGAGATCATCAATCAGATCTTTACCTCTTGCATCAGGGATACAGAGATCCACATCGGCGAATTCGAAGGTAGCGAGGGAGGAAGAATAAGTGGATTGTCGAGCTGGGGCTCTTGCTGACATCTAAGGAGATCCGCGCAATTGTTAAACCGATGTTTTATAGGGGCAACGCAGCACGCGACTTCTATACGACACTTGATTGATCTATGACTGGCTACAGGCCGAAGTACGAGCCCTGCACTGTCTAGGCGTTCAAGAAGGCCGTCTCTAGATTCCCGGAGTGTTTGGAGAACGGGAGCAGCTTGACGGTGACCATCGACAACATCGGCCGCTCCACCCTC